TGCCATTCTGCCTTGGAGCCGGCCAAGTATGGACTGAAATCTCCACAAATTGTAAGCTACGTAAACCTTTCCTTCCTTCATCTTGGGCGTTGGGTATTTTGTCTGAGCAATGAGAGAAAAGTAACCAAGACACTTAGTGATTACAAAATAACCCAAATTATGATTTTCATTTGTATTACCTTAATGACAAATGACATTGACTATTTTTTATGTATTTCTTGGTCATTTATATATCTTTTTGAATAGCTATCTTCTAAAATTCTTTCTTCATATTTAAATTGGTTATGTGCTTCTACTATTGTGTTATTGGAATTCTTTATATTTTCTGGTATAAGTATCTCGAGCCAGGCATGGTGGCACATGCCTATAATCCCAGCACTCAAGAGGCCAAGGTAGGAGGATCTCTGTGAGTTCTAGGCCAGCCTGAGCTACACACTGAGTTGAAGACCAGCCTGTACTACACAGAGAGACCCTGTCTTAAAATCAAACCAAATCAAAACAAAATAAAATGAAACATAAAAACCAATATAGGACTTATAACTATTATATCTCCTTCTGTAGATTTTATTTTAGTGTCCTTTGAAGAAGAAAAGTTTAAGTTCTGATGGCATCTAATTTATCTACAGATGTTCCTTGCCTTATAACAGGGCTACATCCTGATAAGTCCAGTCTAAGTTTAAAAAGATACTGTGAGTTAAAAATGCATTTAATACATCTACCCCAATGGAACATCATAGCTTAGCCTATCCTACCTTAAATGTGCTCAGAATACTTATATTAGCCCACTGTTGGGCAAAATCATCTGACACACAGCTTATTTTATAGTAAAGTATTGACTATCTCATGCAATTTATTAACTACATGTATACAAAATTCTTGTGACATGGTACAGTGCAGAGTATCCATGCTGCCCCTCTGGATCAAGAGTCAGACTGGGAGCTGTGGCTCCCTGCTGCTGCCCAGGAACATGAGAGGCTTGGGCCACATATCACTAGCTGGGAAGAGAGACCCAAATTTAACATTCAAAGTACAGTATGGTATCTACTGAATGCGTACTGCTTTGTCACACTGTAAATTCAAAAAGTCATTAAGTCAAGCCATTGTAAGCTGGGGACTATATGTACTTTATTTTTTGAGTTGTGCTTTTGATATTATGCAAAAACCTCCCCACAAAAAAGAGAAAACCTGGCTTGACTTAATGTTGCAAAGGATTAACTTCTGCATTTTTTTCCTCGAAGTTTTATAGCTTTATCTCTTACATTTAGGCCCATGTCCATTTTGAGTTCATTTCTGTGTACAGTGTGAGCAGCCTCTTTCATTTTGTGTATAGTGCAAAATCGAATGCAGATGGACTTCTAGTTGCCTCACTTCAATCTTATTTCTTCTGCTTGCATTGGGTTCATTTTGCTCTATTCTGCTAGTTTCTTAGAGTGGATCATCAGGTAAATATCTTATAGCCATTCCCATTTTAAAAATATAGATATTAGTAAGTACTGATATCAAAGAACTAGTGCTATATCCTAAAAGCTTTGCCGTGTGAATTTTTTGTTCACTTATCTCAAAATATCTTCTAATTTCTCTAGTAGTTTTGTTTTTGGCCTATTGGTTATGTAGGAGTACTATGTTTAATTTTCACACATTTGTGCATTTATTAGATTTGTCTTTGTTAATGATTCCTGTAAGGAAGACTCTTGATGCGGAAGACTCAGGAGAGGCAACAATAGGGAAGGTGGGGCACAAGAGTTGAAAATGATGAAGATATGTTATATACATGTACCAATTCCCCAAAACGAACATTACCACTACAATCATAGACTATTTTAAAAACATACAGACACTTGCAAAAAATGAAAAGCAATAAATAAATAAATAAATAAATAAATACCTACAGCTGTTCATTTAAAAAAATCTTAATTTCATTCCCAGGGTGTCAAAAAACCCCCATATGTTGTGACTGTAACACTTCCAAATTTCTTGAGCTTGTTCTATGGCCTGCTTTGGAGAATGTCTCACATGCACCCGAGAACAGTGTGTGTTCTGATTATGTTGGGTGGAATGTTCTACAGGTGTTTGTGAGATCTTGGCTTTGTGTTGTTCAACTGTATTATTTCCTTTTGCAAGCCTTGCTTTGTCCGTTATAAAAGGCAAATTAAGAAAATCTCCATACTGTTGAGTTACATATTTCTTATTTTAATCAGTTCTTGCTTCATAGATTTTAGTTTTCTTTTGTTAGGTACAAAAATGTGTGTAAAAGTGGATGCCTTCCTAAGGAATTTGGTTTTTTTTATTACTATGAAATGTCCCTCTGTCTCTATTAACACTTCTTAAAGTCTTTTTTGTCTAATATCAGTACAACCTTTTCAGTTCTTTTTGGTTACTGTTTAGCTGGATTATGTTTTCCCATCTTTTTTACTTTAGCTGTAGTAGAAATTTTCACAGCAGATGAACCACAGGGGATAAGATTTCTCAAAAAATGAATGAAAGAAAAGGAAAAATAAAAAGTAGAGAAAAATGCTCCAGTTCACACTCAGCAAGGATCCAGATGGGCTTCCTTTCCAACATGTATCACACCCCTTTTTCCTGTTTTAATATAACCCTGACTTTGTTTGGTATCCATCTCCCCTCACATAAGCCACTCTATTAGAGGACATGAACTCTTTCCTGGTTTTCAGGGGTTGATTTGCTGGCTTCAGGATCATCTCATAGTCCCTTCTCAATAACTCAGTAACAGATCCAGAGTAGAAATGTTTCTTAAATTGGCTCACTCATACTGAAAGAAAGGACAACTATTCCCAAACTGATGGAGAGACACACATTGCTTCTCCTGGAAGCCTGTTGTCATCTCCTTGTATCTCAGACTATTGTAACTGTGTGTCCAGCACAACATGGTTAATACCAATTGAAAAGGGTCTCCCAGGAGGTTTGAGAAGGCCATTTACAATTGGTGTGTTGGCTCAACAATGTTATGAGATTTAAAAATTCTTCTCAACCAACCAGTCCAGGTGCAGCTGGCAGCAGTGGTGCAGTATGCTGGCAGCCGCTCTCTTGCAGTGTGCTGGCAGAGGGGTAAAGTTGACCAAAGAAGAAATGTAAAGCCAAGAATGCCTTCCCGACATTATATTACCCTGAAGTCTGCTCTACTGCTTGGCTTCTGGTTAGGTGAGTGAATAAGCTTAAGCCAGGTTTGAATTTCACTTCTGTTATTTCAAGTTGAAAGCATATCAAATGCTACAGCAGGGGAATAAACTCACAGAAAAACCAAGAAAAAATGATAGAGGATAATTGGCTGAATGTGATCTGATCTGAGAGGGGATGAAATTTTACAAAGGAAAAAACAATCATAGGGCTAACTGCAGTAGCTTTACCAAGAAAGATGTTGTTCCTGTACAATTTCTCCTTTGGATATGGATCCTCTGAAAATTCATCTTCAGAAATTGTCAGCATATCATGGTTTTCTGATCCATAAAGTTATTCAAGGCCTAAGTGAGGGCAGTCTATTTTACAGCTGGATTGTGATGATTACAAAGTATGCTTTTATAATGAAATATAGAATAACCACAATCAGTAAGACTTGCACTGAAATCACACTGAAATGTCTCTTTTCCTGAAGTAAACCAAACTGATGAAGTCCTGTAAGTCTCCAAGATATATTTTATTCAAGATGGTTTTTTGCAAAAAGATTATGAAAAATTTTAAACGTATACCCGAGGAGAAAGAATAATATAAAAACCCTCCACATATCCATCTCTCAAATTTCAGAATTATCGTTTTTCACTTCTGCTCTTCCCTTCCTGCTTCCTTCACATGCAAAATCAATTGCTTGAAAATCCGAACATATTCTCTTCACATGACCTTCTACAAATCATGGCTAAATAGCACTTAGATTTCTCAGGCTAGAATACAGAATTCCATCTTACAGAAGCCCATAAGGTACATGACATTTTCATATTTTGAATAAAAAATGGTATTGAAACTATGAATAAACTAACAGTAAGTCCTACTTTATTAATGTGTCTAAGAAGAGTGGGATTACCAAAGCAAAAATAAACTTCTGACCCTGTACCTACCCAATTCACAAAGTAGACAGTGTCAAAGTTCAGATTTAATTTACCTGGGTATAAACTTCCAATTGTTTATAACTAGTAACTTGTTAGATTCACGTAGTTTCTCTATCCTAAATATCTGCTGGAACAGTTGCTAACAATGTTTATATGTATCACAGGTATACCTCGAAGTTTCCAAAAGTCTTCCAGAGGGGCTGAAAAATGAAACTATTTTCTTTTTTCTCTTGAGACAGAGTGTCACTATGCTGCTGAGGTTGCCCATGAATTTGTGATCCTTTTTACTCAGCCTCCCAAGTGTTGAGATTGTAGACATGTACACCATGCCTACCTCAAAATTATTTTCTTATTAGTATAAGATGTTCTCTGCTCTTTTCATGATCATTTGTACACAGGTACACAGTGTCTTCCAGGTGCTACATGATGTGGAATATTACTGCCCTAACAGGTATATGTGTGAGGCTGATATGAGAATATTCTGTCTTCTATTAATCCAGTCATTACAATGATTTGCAAAAATATAAAACAATTACAATATTCTCACTGCATTTCATTTTGAAAATATAATTACTCTGTAAAATGTTATTCATATTAACATATGTCATTATTATTTTATGATATTCACATATAAAATTTTATTTATTTTTAATTTTTAATAATTTGCTCTCAATTTTAATTTGTAGTAGTATATATAGATGAGCAATAATTTTCAAGAGTATAAGGCCATCTTAAGTCCAAAAAGTTTGGGAACCAGACAAATAACCTTCATCATTTAAAGGTCACTTTGAGCTGAGGGGATGAAAAGATTCTTTTTTCCTAATTTTGCAAATACCACTGGAAATACAATCTGTCCCCTTTCTGACATTCCTTTTCATGATAAACATTCTTTGATCCTGAGGAGAAAAAGAAGATGAGGATGATGTCTACATTAACACTCACCTTTACTAATTCTGTGTAGCCTGTCTCCCTTGGGGTCCACCATGGCTGGGCTTTCAGTCCATTCACATTGTAGAGTGAGCGCTGCCAGACAGACGCAAAATGTCCTCTCTTGTAGCCAAGCTCATACCACTTGTATGCCTGAAAAAATGGAAAGATTCTGCTCCTTACTACTCTTTAAATAAAGCATTTTTATTAACTTTAAAATTAGAGGTTAAAAAAAATATTAGAGATGTTACTGGACTTGTGATAGGATTATGTAAGCTGAAAACACCCTAAATCAAAAATACATTTAATCCACATAACGTACTTAGCTCAACAACACAGTACACTGTAAAGTGTTGGCAGTTTCCCCTTGTGATCACATGGCTGATTGGGAGCTGAGACCGACTGCCACTGTCCAGTGTCACAAGAGAGCACTGTACTACATATTGCTAGCCTGGGAAAAGCTCATACTTTGAAATGTGGTTTTCACTGAACACATATGGCTTTCACACCACCATAAACTTAAAAAATCTTAAGTCTACCCACGTTAAGTCAGGGACTGTCAGAACTTGTAAGTTAGGTGCCTAAATCTATAGAAACCTGGTGAGAATATGATCAGGTTTCTGGTTATTTTGAGTTAGTATTAAATATGGTCATAGCCCATATCAGACTTTTTTCCTTTTGTGGTAGTAGGGACTGAACTCATGGTCATCACATTGAGCTATGTTCCCAGCTCAAAATTTTCATTCTGAGACAAGGTCTTGCCAAGTTTCTAATTTGCCCATGCTAGGGTAGAACTTGGACTCTTCTGCCTTAGCTTCTCAGAATACTAGGATTATAGGCTACCCCAAAGAGAAAGTCTAAACCCTCCACTAAATTAAGTAGACAGAAAAGAAATGGTATTCTGAGTTCGTATGATATTGGACATACCAGTTTTTGCTTTTGTTTTTGTTTTTTTTTTATGGTACTGGTGACTGAAATCAGAGCTTTCACACAGAGCTACATTCCTAATCCCTTTTTAATTTTCATTTTGAGACAGGGTTTTGCTAAGCTGCCCATGTTGGGCATCCTCCTGTCTCAGCCTCCCAGAATGCTGGGATTACAGGTATGCACCATCATGCTCAGATTTATAGAAGATTTTTTAAAAGGGGACTTTTCTTCCTAATTAATGTTTTTTTTTCCTGCCATAGGAGTAGTGCTTGGGCCTTTAGGCTGTGTGCAACACAACACAACTGGTCTCTATGAAGGTTAGCATTTCAGAAATAGCTGGCTGTGGAATTCCTTGCTCCAGATGGCACCTCCCAGTGATGCACCAGCCATATGCTCCCAAGAGGCTCTCCCTACAGGCTGCCTGCCTCGTGAATGTCCCATTGTCTTTCCCACAGAATCCCTTCCTAGCAGTGCATGGACTCTTATCCTCTCTTTTAGTACAAGTCTGCTGTAGTGGTTACTTTTGAAGAATGATTTCAAATACATATTTGATTGACACAAATAAACATTTAATGTCAACTTGAGTATCTTCTTTTGATGGAAAAAATTAACCTCTATATGTGTGTTAACATTTGTATTTTAAATTTTTCTTCATTAGAAAAGTGAAGGATGATAGTAATGTCACCTCATATTTTCAGTAAGACTCTATAGTTCACCGCTTACTTTTATAATCTCATTTAATCTAACTGCCCCAAATATCTCCATCTTACAATGTTAAAACAGGTTTATAAAAGTTAAATTTCTAGGGCCTGGGGATTTAGCTCAGTGGTGCTGTGCCTACCTGGTAAGCATGAGATTCTGAGTTTAATACCCAGTACCCCTCTAAAATGTTAAATTTCCAGAACAAAACTCCAAGCTTTTTGGCATCTTGGTTAACTCTCTATCACTTAAAGATGAACTACTGGGGAGCACCAAGATGGCAGAGTGGTAAGCAGCAGAGAAAAAGCCTCTCTGAGAGTTGCCATCCAGACAATGGAATACAGTAAAGTGAGGAAGACGAGAAGGAGGGAAGTCAGTTCCCTGGACCTAGGAAGAATCTGAAGTGTGAACTGAAGCCCATGGTGAGGGTTAAGAGAGAAAGTTCAGTGCAGAAGGAGGTAGCTGGCAGCACCTTTTGAGACGACTCACTGCATTAGAGAAGTGGTTTAACCCTGAAGACACATGGTGATGGCTGGTGACCCCACAGACCTCCATGGAAAGATGCACCAGTGAAGGGAAACAGTAGACATGGAGGACTGCACTAGTTAGTGGTGAGTGCTGAAGGCTCAGTTGTCCTGCACAAGCAGCAATTGGCTGGGAGCCATCTTGGAGAGGGCTGGATGAGTGCAGGACTCAGAGTGGTTATGGGCTTCATCTAGTGGGTCCCAGCCAGGCACAGGTCCATGGAAGGTGTGCTGATGGCTGCAGGTCAAATGAGCCTGGTCTAGGCCAGAAGATGCAGGTTCACTGAGATTATACAATACCCTGTCAAAAAGCTACTGCTGGCTTCCTGGGATAAATCAACATGGATCAGGACTCTGTCTCCACATGTTGTCTATCAGTGACAGCAGAGATATACCTGGAAGTGGACTCTTTTTTTTTCTCTCTCTCTCTGTTTTTGAACTGGGAATCAAACTCAGGACCTCACACTTGCCAGGCAGGCACTGTGCCACTAAGCTATACTCCCAGCCCCCTGTCTTTTTTGTTGTTGTGGTGGTGGTTTTGTTTTCTTTTTTGTTCTTTGTTTTTGTTTTTTCTCCACCATTGTTTGATCTTGTTTTTATGTGACTATGATCATGATTTCTAGCCTCTCTGTGGTTGTGGTTCTGTTTTGTTCTTCTTTTTATCTCTTCCTTCTCTCTTTCCCTCCAGTCTTCTGCAAAAGTTTCCCAAAGTTAGTGTGATCCCCCTTTGTCCACCAGTCTTACTTCTAATCTCTTCCTTTTCTTCCACTTGTCCATTTTCTCCTTAACCCATTTTAACCTTTAACCCCTGAGGGCAAAATTAATATATTCAGGATGGAATACTCTTCCTTTTCTTCCACTTGTCCATTTTCTCCTTAACCCATTTTAACCTTTAACCCCTGAGGGCAAAATTAACATATTCAGGATGGAATAATTTTCTTGTTTGTTTTAGATTTTGTTATGTAACCACAAATCTAGATCATACAGTGTAAGGTGGCAAATTAATAGTTAGCTAAGTTTGTCATTTTCTAGGCTGTGTTTGATGTTATTGTCATTGCTGATGGTACCCCATAGCCAAAAATAACACAATTGTTCTAAACAGCTATTTTTCCTGTTATTCCAAAACTGAGATTGACTAAGGGTCATAAAAAATACTGTGGCACAGTGCCAAAGAACCAGGGGTTGGACCAAACAGGCAGCAACTTCTCATCCCAAACAAATTGAAGAGGTAAGATCTTGCAACAGACTCAAAACCCAAAACCCAGCTCCACCTGGAAGATACCTCAGAGAAGTAGTCATTTCCTAAGGGTTCTTTTTGCAATAAAGCAACCCACCATAGGCAATTTACAGGTGTCACACCAGGAATTAGAAGAAAAAAAAGAAAAGAAGAAGACAATTAAATAAGATGCAGCCCTAGACTTTCCATTCACCAAAGGAAAACCCAGGGGGCAATGAGGTGGGACAATCAGAAAGCCACCCACCTGGTCTCTCTGAAGTGGTAACAACAAAGCAACTGAATGAGGCTCTAGAAAAAAAATCAAATCAAAAATAATTTCGCAGATAACTTCACAGATGGTGTCTACAAGGAAAACCATGCTAAGTGACTCTAGAGCAGATACAGATGAAAAAGAGAGGAGTTTAAGAAAATTATGGAAGTCAAAAATGCTCTACATAGGAAAGAAATGGGATCCATAAGGCAGATTCAGGCAGATATCCAAGAAAATAAAAATTTCATTAAAACTATCCACAGAAGATTAAGGCAATATGAAGACAGGACCTCAGACATAGAAGACAGGCTTGTGGTTAGTGATCTTGAAAAAAATTTTCTTAAAAATAGCAAGAGACCATGGAAAATCAATTCAGCAGGTGCTAGACAAGGCAAAGAGAAATAACAAGGATTGGAGTCAGTGAAAAAGGAAGAGATAGCACAGACGATGTAAAAAAAAAAACTGTTCACAGACATCATGGCAGAAAACTTCCCTGGTACAGAAAAAGAATTTGACATACACATAAGTGAGGCATATAGAACTCCCATGAGCCACGATCAAAAAAATGTATAGCCAGGCATATCAAAGTCAAGATTCCAGAAATTCAACACAAGAATGGAATCTTAAAAGTGACTAGGGAAAAGAAACAAATCACCTATAAAGGAAAGCCCACCAGAATCACAGCAGACTTCACAGCACAATCCCTCAAGTCAAGGAGAGCTTGAAGTTAAGCATTTCAAGTTCAAAGGAAAAGAATCCAAATTGATGTACCTCACAAACCTATGTTTCAAAACTAATGGAGAAATAAGATACTTGCATGACAAAGAACATCTGAGGAAATTCATCATCACCAAACCAGTATTTCAAAATGTTTTCAAGGACATTTCAGAAAGAGGTAACAAGGACTACAACTCCATGAACTCCAACAGAAGGAATCCACCAGGCAAGACAATTAAACACAGAGCTGGGGAAAAAAAGAAGGAGTCAACAACAGGAAAATAATGTGACAAGGACAAGTCAATACATATTGGTTATAATCATCAATTTTAATGGTCTCAATTTACCAATAAAAAGACACAGACAGGCAGAATGGATCAACAAGTAATATCCAACAATATGTTGCATACAAGAAACACATTTAATTCCAAAGTCAAAGGATGAAAAACAATTCTCCATGTGACAGGAACTCAGAAAAAAGCAAGGGTAGTTATTCTCTGGGCAGATAAAGTGAAGTTCAAGCAGAGACTGATTAAGAGAGGTAAAGAAGGTCACTACATCCATGTAAAGGAAATAATCCAAGAGAAAGTGATAACCATCATAAATATATATGTAACAAATACCAGTACATCCATCTATATAAAACAACTATTAACAGGCATGAAAAATGAAACAAGCACTAATAGAATTGTATTGGGCACCTCAATAACTCAGTGTCATCAAGAGACACATCACTTTTGCACACACCCTGAATTCCTGAAGGTCACAGAAACAGGTGGTCCGTGATCACAGCCACTGT